TATTGCCAAGTAGTCAAATTGTTCCAAGTTGTTCCGGAAGGTTGTTATTAATAGTATGTTTTCTGAGGAAAGTTCTGTCTACTTTTGGAACTGCATTTCTGTTGCCAAGGAAACTCCTTTAAGCACAGCATTCGAGGAGCACACTGCTGCTTTTGTTTGCCAGTATCCTATTCATATCATCTAAGTAAGCACTTTACATACTTCAGCCTCCAGTTTCAAATGTGGAAGTTTCTCAGTATTTATACTTGGCATTAAATATAGTTTGTTCTTCATGTTAAACATGGGGGACACTTGCAAGATTATTTTAACAGTTGCTTTAAAGAACAGTTTTTTTTTTTTTTCACAAGTTTTCAATAAATTAGTTTTAATTTGAATAACAGCTCCATAGGTTATAGCACTAGTCCTTAAGTGTTAATTATCTTTTCACTCTGAAATTAATGTAGTCATTTCCTACTGACTCCTCTACACCATTGCTGAAGTGCTGAGGAAAACATGTCATTGAGTTCTGAGCCAGAACTGTTGTGATTAATCCTGGTCACATGGCCAATCTCTGCCAAAAGGAGATCAGTGAAAAAAGGTGACAAAGACAGTGATTTCCTGTCAGCAAAGAGTACGACAGGGCTGTCTAGAAGTGATGCAAATGAGGGAAACTTTCAGCAGGGTTTGTTTGATCCACTCGGGCTGCCCAGGCCGTGCCAGGAGGGCGGGCAGTGGAGCAGCAGCACACCCAGAGGAAGAAGCAGCACCTTGCGCAGTTTTCCACTTGGTTTGAAGCGTATCCTCAGCTTTTGATATGCGTTTTAATGTGATTCAAACCAGGGGTCTGCTTGCCGCAAAGCAAGCAGTTTTGCAGTTAACCTGCCCGAATGCCACACCAAATGCGTTTCTTCACAATTTCTGAGCTACCACAGAGGTTTTCTTCCTGCTCTCACCATGTTTTCTGTGAACTTTTAAGTGCAAGTCTTACACAGCTCATGCAGTTTGTATTAAGAACAGCATCCATCATTTGTAACCAAACAGAAAAATACAATTTCTTTTATTTGATATTTTTAAATGTTTAGTTAATTTTATTCTGAACATGCCTACAGTCTGAACAATCATACTGTACTTATTTAAATGGGGTTTTAATCTAACACAATTAAGTTTTGCAATTAATCTTCTGAGGGAAATGGGAAGAATTATCATTAACTTTTCTGCATAGTATACTCATTTCTAATCTCCCCAGTTCCAGTAAATACAGATTTGCTTCAGTTTTGAACACTCAAGGTACAGAATTACTCAAGTTCTCACTAAAGGGCTAATTAGCAGAGTTTAAATTCTTTGGGTTTGATCGTTTGGTAATGGCATATGAATGCAGCTGAAGTCAATGCAAGTTCTGTGTACTTAGAGCTTATGAGATCAGGCTCACATGTAGTAGATTAAAATGAAATAAACATAATACATTAGGCATTAAACTGAGTTCTTACAGCAGTACAAAGAAGTGAGAGTCCAAAAAAAAAAAAAAAAAAAGGAATGTTTCTTTAAGATTTTCTTAGTTAATAGATACAGCATTAGGGGACAGATAAACTCTCAGCTGTGTGGTCTGCGACTGCCATTCCATCACACACCAGTTAATTTTCAAAATCATTAGTTTAAGTGTGTAAAGCTGAAATCCTTTAGAGCTGCAGGGGAACACTGGGAGGAAAATGAAGGAAGAATAGTTTTCTATTTCTGCGTGTCTTTGCACTGAAGTTAGAAATGTGGGGAAGTCAGTGTACATATTCAGAGTTTAACAAAAAAAAAAAAAAAAAAGAATAGCTGTGTTGCTTCTCTTATATTAAGGGCACAATGAAACCTGGTTAAAGAGAGATAATAAGGATGCTAATAAAAAAAAACCATGTAGCTACCACAATATTAAAAAACAAAATTAAGCAGAGAGTTAAATTTGTATTAAATCTGAAAATAGAGTATTAGGAAAATAATCTAACTATAAAAATGTATTTTATTTTCCTTTATGAAATTTTAGCATTTATGTATTATGTTAAATTGTTTTAAGGTATGCTTCTCCCTTCTGATTTACCTGTGCTACCACTGTTCCATCCCATTCATAGACATCTTAGGGGCAATGATAACTGTTGGTAACAGTGATACCACAGCCAGATCCGTGCCATGGGCAGTTTGCTGAGCTGGCTTACAGGTGCAATTACTTATCAGCTCAATTACTGATAAATCTGTGGGTTTAGGAGAATCCACCAAAATGCAGTGCCATTACAAAGTTCATATTTGAAACTGTAACTGGTAAGGATGACAAAAGCAAGACCCGTGTTTTCATGACATCCCAGAACACTGAGGAATTCTGATAATAAAAGCTACCTGAATATCTCTTTACAGATTTCTTTCCACATGGAGTAGAAAGACGCTGTTCACAGTGGCCAATGGCTTTGAGTATTAGATCATCCACCATCTTATATAAAACTTAAAAAACAATAGGGTGTCACATGTGATTCTGACTACTTAAAAAACAAAACAAAACAAAAAACAACCCACCTATTAATGGCATTTCTGAAGACATTTCTGTTACTTGAATCTCAAAAATTAAGGATAATAAAGAGCTACTGATTTATCTGATCTCTAATTTTTTGCTAGTGTAGATTTTTTTTTTCCTTTTGTCTACTTTTAAAGGTCTGAAATTATGGGGTTTTCAATGGTTTTTTTTGGGGGGGAGGTGGTTATTTGGTGTGTGTTTGGTTGTTTTTTGTTTGTTTGTTGTTGTTTTCTTTTGAAAGGCTAATAGACCTTAATGCTATTCACTCAGGCTTTTTACATTACCTGAAAATATTCATTCTGGTTTGTGGACACTTCTCACCCACTTCTTAACCAAAGTGAAAATTTCCAGTTGTTTAAGTCTTTCCTTTTGCTCCTTAACAATTTGCTTTCTGCTTTCACTATAAAGGTGTATTCAGAGAATATTCCCTGTTAAGAGGATAAGCAGTCTGTTTCTTTCTATCTTTCTTCAAGAGGTTTTGCAGTGGTCAGACTTTTGAGACAGGGGCTCTACTACTGAGCAGATGCCCTTGCTGGGGAAACTGCACAGCAAGTAAGTTGATTCTGCACAGGAAGCAGTACTGGAGTGTGTGCTGCATAAGTTACAGTTTCTGTCTCTGTCTCAAACCTCCTGCTTTTGGAAGTGTCACACGTATCATAAGACAGAATTTGGTAATAATAAAAGATGAATACTCCCCATCTTGCACAAACAATATTTCTCATTTTGCCTTCGCCCTCTACTGCCAAGTAATTCATAGATTACTGCCCTCTTCTCACTACATATTTATCCCAGTCTGACCATCTATAATTATTTTTAATGGCTACATTTGGATATCAGAAAGGGAAGTATCCTAAACACCTAAAATACTTGTGCTGTATGAGCACTGTGGCTTTTCATATTTATGAGTTGATTTTTTTCCTAAAATATGATTTATGTTTATTGATATATATATTTTTAAGTATACTACTAAGACTAACAGATAGGTTAGACATGTACATGCTGGTCTTATAAGAACAGACACTACCAAAACACACTGTTTTAGACTTGCAAAAAGTATATATACGCTTCTGATGTTGCTTATTTCTGAACTTATGAAGAACAAGAACTGTCTGTGCAATTTATTCTGATTAAGTATTTAGAAAGATAGGAAAAATTAGTGAAACAGTAGTGAAAATAAATGATTGACAAAGAAATAGAGATTACTGAATTAAACTCACTTGCAAACTAAAATAGTTCAGATCTGAAGCATATTTCCATTCCTAAACATATTTTAACTTGTTCAACAACCCTTTTTCATAGGATATTTTAAATAAAAGGACTAAAATTAGAGAGAACAAAATGCAAGAAGACCATCAAGAAAATAAGAAACCAAAGCAGGAAAAACTAAATTATGTTTAATAAATTATCATATCGTGCTATCAAAAGAGAAAGAAAACAACTTTTATTTGACCTTGAATGTACCATTTATTCGAAAAGAAATTAAAAAAAAAGCTAGAGGGTAGTTGTTTCTTGTCATTATACTGTTGCTGATTCTGTGGTTAGTTATTAATTTTATTTTTTATGATTCACAATCTGCTCTTTGAAATATGCCATATGCTCAAAGCAATTCAAGGATGACAACTGTCAGAATTACTCCAATAAAAATTGCCTAAATGAGGAAGATTTACTGCAGCCTGATATTTCTGTCAAAAGCCCCTCCTTTCTTTTCCCCACCACCCCTAGTACCCATAGACTGTAGCTTCTCTAATGCAGAAGGAAGCCTGAAACAGTTTTAGGATCAAATCACTCATTTTGGACAACTTCCTCTATGTAATCATACATTAAAAAAGGGATAAAGCTTCTCAGTTAAGGCTACTATGATAAATCTAAGAAACTCTGCATATGTATGTATATCAACATACACACATATCTGAAAACTGTATTATAAATATGCAAGTCCAAAATCATTTTGTTGAAATCAAAAGGCAACTGTGATGACTTAACATGAAAACAACTGCTTTATGGATAACTAATAAAAATTAAATTGGAAAAGTCCTGTATTCTGGCAGCAGCAAACCAAAATCAAGGCAAATTTCTTTCTTCCTAGAAGAGGTCTGAAAGGTGGATGAAAATTCAGCTGAAAGCTCCAATCAAAACACGTTTTGTGAAATGCTACCATTTCATTTTTTTCCCTTCATTTTGTTTCACTCTATTTATTAATGCCATTTCATTTATTTCTATTCATCTTGAAGAGAAATCTTTGTCCTTCTATAGAATTACACCAAATAGAATGTGATAAAGGGAACTTTCTTGCAATTATGATGTCGGTGCAGCCTGTCAGCGCACAGGGGATGGAAATGAGGTTGGGGACAGGGAAAGGAATTCTAATAGACACCATGATACATACAATGAACGCAGCGATATCCTGTGAGAGAAAGACTTGTCAAGCTAATCAGATCTTCTATAGCTAGGTAAAGGCAGTAACGGTAACACTAACCTTGTAAAGATGCTGCTGCTGCTCCTCTGACATCATCAGGTCATGGCTGTCCATCACAATGGATTCCATGTCAATCAGCCAATCCCAGAGCTCCTGGTATTCTGAATCAAAGTCCAAAAGGCTGTAGATAAGGAACAAAATGTATTATGCATAAATACAGTGTAGTTGTTAAAATCTTGTATTAGAATAATATATTCTTGAAAACTCATGATGTTCCTAGTTATATTTCTAAAGAGACATTCTGTATTTATACAGAGTTGAGGAAAATGGAAACTGAAATCCAATTTAAGCCAGTGCCATGACCTAAATTCAGTGGCTGATGCCAAATCCTGACAACTGTTGGCATATTGCATTTGCTTCAAAATTTTTTGAAATAGAAATCCTTCACAGATAATGTTGATTAATGGTTTTTAAAGTGTTGACTTCATAATGAGTAAACTTTGCAATAATAATTCCCATACAATTCATATATAAATATTGTTTTCACAGAAAAATGACTCAATCCGTTCAGCCATCCTTCTGCTGTCTATCTGCCTATCTCTGTAAATATCCTACATTTATTTTCATGGATGAGTAGCTAGCATTTCAACTTAAGGCCTTAAGATAGGCTTGAGTGAATATGGTAAGCCAGTGAGAACTAAGGCCAGATACAGTATTAGACAGGTGTTCCCTACAGACATGTAAGAAACAAAGGTAAGGACAGGAAGTCAAAACAATGAATCCTTGAATAGCCAGCAATCATTAAAATTCAAAGGAGGATCACTATGGTATTCAACAAAATAAATCATTAGAATAAGGAGCTTAAAAGGATTAATGTGATTCTCCATTGAAAGCTTAGTGAATAAGTAAAGCATAGTTTCTTCTCAAACACCGTAGTACAAGACAGAAGGTACATGCTAAAAAATTGCACATTCATCAAAAAGATACACTTTAGAAAGAGATCTCCAAACATCCAGAACTGGAGTTAACAAAAGCCTTGTCACTAGTATAAAAAAAACCAGACTGATCAAACAATTGTACATGTTCCACTGAAGCTGATTTATCTAACTACTGAAAACTATTTCAGCTTTCCATATCTTTAGCAATGCCATTTAAAAAAATTAGCAGTATTTCAACAGAGAAACAATAAACTAAACACGTTTCTAATGTTATTAATGCTATTGCAGTTTCAGTTAATAATAACTAGAGTACCTTGTGCATGTTAATTTCGAAAATTGGTAGAAAGAAAGCAAGAAAGAGAAAGAAAGAAAGAGAGAAAGTGAGAGAGAAGGAGAGACAGGAAACTATTTGCCTTCTCTGATATTATTTTCAACAAGCTGACAATAAAGGAAGCCTTGTATAATGCCCAAGTGTTGATTCCCACTTTTGAAGTAACTGCATTCTAATCCACTGTACTTAGTGTACTTTTACTTAATAATTTATGAGGTGTATTTGCTTAAAACTACTCACTGTCCTCAGAAATTAAGCAATGGTGCAATTACAAAGAAGAGCTAGCATACAAAAAAAGTACAATTGTTGAAATACAACAGTTTCATTGGGAGTGCAGGACTTTTCTCCTCTTTCAGGAGCCATTTCTCTCAAATGTCATTTTCAAACTAAAATAAAACTAAACTCCATTTTCAATACTGTATTAGAAGTGATATTGAATCTTTATCTGTATTAGAAGTGATATTGAATCTTTATTTCTTTCTCTGAAAAGAGTATAACCATTCTTTATGTTTAGTGTCTAGTGCTCCTTTAGTTCCCTTCTGTCTCATCCAAATATTATCCAGTGTCATTAAACTGACAGGCATTTATTAAAACATGTGTTTTACCACATAAGAGACTCAATTTCATTTCATGTAAATTGGTCCTGATTCAGTTGGACTTAGCCCATTTGTATCGGTGAAATATTTGAATTAAGATATGAAATGATTGAATCAAAGCCTAACATCCAACGCTCGTGGTCTTCAGATGCCAGAGTGGGATGGGATGGGCCTTTGGAAACAGCACCAAGAAGTGAACTGGGATTTCAATATAATGTGCAGAACACATGCTGGATCCAAACACCTGCTTTATATCTACTGAACCTCATTTTACAATCCAAATTTGTCCATTTATTGGTATAAGAGAATGAATTCATCTTTTAAATACACACAAAAGCACTTTTCCTTGACCTTTACAAAATCCAAATAAGCACCGTCCTGCTGTTTCCTAGTTTGATTTCTAGCTAACATTCTAAACATATTAACCTAAAACAAAAAGTGGGAGAAACAGGATTCACAGGGAGAATCCCAAGAAAGGATTTCTTTTTTTTCCTATAGTTTACATCTTGTGCCTCTTTCCTTTTTTTTTTTTTTCTCCCCTGATTGTAAAATAAATTTAATGAGAACACTTTTAAGCAAACTGTCTATACTGCTCTTACTTTCCTGAAGAGAGTGAAGCCTTAAAGCATCATTTAAAAATAATAATAATGGACTGCAGTATTTATAATAGTTCTGAAAAAAATTCTGCTGTTTTTCAAATAGAAGCTTTGTTTTGAAAAATGAATGTCTTAAATCTAAAAGGAAAATACTGACTACTCTTTAGTTACTATCTGGAAAAAAAAAAAAAGATAAACTATTAAGTTGCTAAAAAGATACTTAGAATATTCAGCAAACATAGTATCAGTGACATGTTAAAATAAAATGTACCTGCCAGTATTTAGGTGGTATGTTGAATGTGTGTTGAGAATTGTTTTCTTTCCATAGACTTAGCAGATCTTTTTCATGTTGCTACAGGCAGAGTGAAGGAAAACATAACCTCTGAAATACTGTATCAGTGTTACAAATGAAAGCTACAGAAAAGTATAGTAGATAACAACACAAACGCTTGAATGTTAAAGGACTCCCTTTATATAGGCTTGCTGGTTAATAAGCTAAAATCATTACTATGTAATAACTGAAATGACATAAGAAGTATACTTTACTCAGTAAACAGGGAATCAGACATGCAGAGTTGCATGTCTAATCCCTTGAACCCTAAACATATTTCTTAAAATGTGGACATCAATTTATTATTTTGAATGAAAATTCATGAGCACCTTCCTCATGAGAGAACCAACTCGTCTGTGGCATTAATAAATAAAAAGGAATGCAAAGCTATTTCTATTAGCCTTTTTTGCCACATCTAACACACACTTGCAGTATGTATTACTTCTTTGATAGCATCATTCACATAGTATTTAGAAGTACCATAAACATGATGCTATGTCTGCCAAAAAAATCAGCCACAAAGTTCTTTCAAGTTTCTAGGTCATCATTTTTTGGAACTCCTCTCCATACATGACTTTATTAGGCGGATATAGGAGAAATCAATATTCTGACCTTCACGTTATCTCATTTTCCATACACATAACCCTCTCTATTGTCATAACAACATCTACATTGCAGGAAATCTTGTTCTTTACAGAGTAACTGGCATCATCCTGTTCTGCAGATACTAATTTTTACTACTACTGCAATATCAGTTTAGCTGTTTACTGCACAAAGTCACTACTTTACTGTATAAACAATTCTCCATCTACAATAATTCTTGTTCTCCTTGGAGGCATATTTCTTCCTCCTGAGCCAAGTGTCCACAACAAGCAATAGACAGATACCAAAACCAGATACTAATTTTCCCAATTTGCTGAACAGCTTCTTGTCTGTACAGATCTCAGTCATCCTGCAACAGATAACTGCTCATCCTACTACAGAAATTCTGTTTATAGTTTTTAAGCAGTAAGGAAAAGCTGCGTAAAATCTATTCTGAAAGCTATGTATTAATAGCTGGAAGACATTACCATTGCGTTCAATACAATACCTCAGACTAGATCAAGCTGAATCCATCTGAATTCAGCCCATCAGGTTTTATATAATGGCTAAATGCATGGTGTGCCTATCTCCTCAACATCCTTTGGCTCTTCAATCTACTGCTGAGCCTATAAGACCTAAGATGATCACAAGAGCCCAGAAAGGTGGCCACAGCACAGAAACAGAGAACACCACTAGATCATCATTATCAGTAATATGCAGGAAATTATGAGTACAGACAAATGCATCCAAGAGCCTCCCAATCTACCTCACACGTATGATATTTAGAGTTACAGACTAGATTTTATCTTGAGGCTTAAAGCATTCTTTATAGCCTTTATCCTCAAGAAAAGTAATTCTGTTATTGTCTTACAGTCTGTGTACCACACCAAATTCCAACCTCAAATCTTGCTCACATTCAACTCTGGCTGCAAAATAAGAAGCTGTTTTTGAATACTTAACCCCAGTATACATCTATATACATAAATGTATCAATTCTAAACAAATTATTTTTATAACTAGGAATAGCTGCTCTAGCGTGTTTGAGAAACTGACAGATTTCTGCATAAGTAATCAAGATCTCAGATAAGTAATCCTACATAATTAGCCTACATTAACTTTTCTAAAACAGTCATCTTTCTGTATAATAAGAGGGGATGTTTACAAGACTCATCCTTACAGTTAGTAATTTTATAAAACTTTATTTCCAACTCAACATTGAGTTAACAACTGTAAAATGAAGTTTCAAGGATGAAGAGCAGCTTGGTCAGTGATGTTCCTTTCATATGAAGTTGAAAGTAAAAGTTCTACTGAATTTTCTGGTTACTAGAAATCTTATATCAGGATGAGGACGTACACTAGCCAGCTCTTTTTCACTACTTTTGCTGCATACTATTATGAACTGACAGAGATGTCCCCCAAAATACCTTAATGGAGAAGCTGGCTACCCACAGTTTGGATGGGCATATGCTCTGCTGGATGAAATACTCTCTGGATCCAAAGAGTTGTGGTCAGTGGAATCAAACCCAGTTGGCAGCCAGTCATGAGTGGTCGCCCAGGGCTTGGTACTGGGACCATTTCTATTCAACATTTTTATTGATGATTTTCATAAGGGGATTGAGTGCACCCTCAGTAAGTTTGCAGATGACACCAAACTGGGAGGGTAGTAAGGCACTACAGAGGGACCTGAATAGACTGGATCGATGGGCCAAGATTAACTCTATGAGTTTCAATAGGGCCAAGAATTGGGTCCTGCACTTTGGTACAATGACCTCAGGCAATCCTACAGGCTTGGGGAGGAGAGGCTGGAAGAAAGGGACCTTGGTGTACTGATGAATAGTCAGCTGAATATGAGCCAGCATATCTGGGCCCCGGTGGCCCAGAAGGTCAATGGCATCCTGGCCATCAGGAATGGTGTGGTGAGCAGGACTGTACTTGGCATTGGTGAGGCCCCACTTCAAGTACTGCGTTCACTTTAGGGCATCTCAATACAGAAAGGACACTGAGGTGCTAGAGCATGTCCAAAGAAGGACAACAAGGCTTGGAGAATATGCTCTACAAGGAGCAACTAAAGGAACTGGGGCTGTTTAGTCTGGGGAAGAGGTGGCTGAGGGGAGACCTTATTGCTCTCTTTGAATACCTGAAAGGTGATCGCAGTGAAAATGGGGTTGGTTTCTTCTCACTGGTGACAGGATAAGGCGAAATGGCCTCAAGCTGTGCCAGGGGAGGCTTAGGTTGGATATCAAGGAGCAACTTCTTTACAGAAAGGGTTGTGAAGCACTGGAATAGGCTGCCAGGGAGGTGGTTCAGTCACCATCCTAGATGTGTTTAAAATCCATTTGGATGTGATGCTTAAGGACATTATTTAGTGGAGGGTTGTTAGAGTTCGGGTAGTTAGGTTAGGTTGCTTTGGATTTGATCATCTTTAAGGTCTTTTCCAACCTGAGCTATACCATGATTGTGTACATTTAGAGTTGTCAAACATGATTTTGTGAAAGAAAAACTCTTAAAACCAGAGCTACAATAAATTCTTCTCAGTGTGAAAAAGTGAGGGGCAGCCATTCAAGACACCTATTCTGTGATGAAACTACCTAAGATTCTTTGCTCAAATTTCCAAGAAAACAGTTAAATTTAAAAAGAATTAGAATTGCTGCTTTCTAGAAGTACAAAACTGGGAATTTTAACTTCACTTACATACATGTGTGTATATATAACATTTACATAAATAATACATATTTTATATATATACGTAAGATATACACTTTAGCTCCATATTTAACTTCCTTAGTCACCAGTATAATTACTATTACAGAGAATTGTCTTACAGTTGTATTAACAAGCTATAAAGACATTTCCTTGTAATATGCTAAGAAATGCTAAGATAATAGATAATGTTAGGGAGTTCTATGAACAAACCATGACTTGGGTACTTTATCTAGAACAGATAAATTTTTGCAGTAATATATAACAAAGCTTTTCACTGCTTCATGACCTAGGAAGAAAAGTTTGGGTTAACTAGAAGTAAGAAAGAGTATATCACGTAAAAAATAATACAGATCAGTGAGAATAAAACAACAAAAAGAATAGTTCCCTACCCATTACTTCCCACTGTGTGAACTTTTGACATATCAGCAAACTCTTCCTTTCGCTTGCTACTACTGTTGTACTGCTCACTGTACAGCTTTAAGGACATCTGTTCAACAGCATCTCTTTGTGCTTCCAGATAGCATAGCTGAACCTCAGCCTAGAGAAAGAAAACAAAGAGAAAAAACAGAACTTTTTTCTTTAATTCAAAATGAATGCATTTAAAACAGCTACTTTTGCATTGCAAGAATTTTAACAGAGGAGTATTCACACCATCATTTTTCTCTTAGCATGATAGCAAAAAAGGCTGAACCAGTCAGTCAGATAAAAGTCAATTGTATTCCAAAATACTCGAACTGAAATATTTGGTGACTATCAGAAAATGTAGAAGATATTCCATAACATGTATCAAATGTTGCATAAAAATGTCTACATATAGATACATAAACAAATATTTATCATAGGCTTCAACATTTATCTATTTAACACTTTGCCTGTGCTTCATAATTAATGAAAACCACGTTAAGTATTTTTGTTTTGAGCAGCAAGCGTAATCAAAACAAAAGAAATCAGCAATAGTCACATTCTGCTTTCCCCTTATTGGCATCCACCAATTACTCAGCAATTTTGACTGCAAAGATGAAGGCAGTCAGTTAAAAGTTAAGGCAAACTTTGTGCCTGGCCAGAAGAATGCTGAATAATATTTGGAATCATAACCTATTGAAAAGACACTTTATTTAGTGCAGCTGTGGTGATTGGTTTGATTTTGGGGCTCAGAGAACCAGATGATAGGATGAAATCTGCTGTGTGCCACAACTGCCCCTAGGAAAAGGGAAACGAACAGAGGACAGAGTAAGTTCAAAAGCACTTTGGGATCAATCTGCTATTGTTTTCTTTTAATATGCCTCTCTGAAAGAAAAACACATTACAAATTCTGATAACGTTTCAAAATCTGCTACTTCTGCATAACTACATACTCATTTCTATTAGGAAAGTGCCTGCTTAGCTATTTGGTACTATGGCAAGCAAATGTAACAAATGGGAGAAATTCTGTGCAAGGACTCTTGCATTTTTTACTGCGGCAGGCAGAAAAGTGAAGAGTTTGCCTGGTTGCTGACAGCACGGCAGAGTTACCAGGCTGTGGAATGGCAGCTGTACACAGACAAAGGAGGGAAAGCACTGGATAGAAGAAATGCGCAAAATCCAGACTAAAAAATGTTGGCCAGTGACGTAGGCACTTAAGAGTCGCAGTGGAGAAGGTCCGAAAGAAGGTTCAAATATCTTTTTAAGAATGTCATAATAAATTCTGTATATTTGCTTATGCCTTTCTTCAGCACTGATGTTGTTTTTGCTGAGTAACAATACAGCTAATTTGAAAATTCCATTTCCTTTTCAAATGTATCTTTCTTATGCTCAACAGCTTTATTTCCCATTGGCCTTTCATATTAAAATTCCTTTTGTTTTGCAGTAAATCCCCCCCCCTTTTTTTTTTTTTTTTTTTTTTTTTAATAAATTAAAGAAAAGTAGGAAATATTCCAAGGATATAGTAGATAAAATTCCAAGTAAGCCACTCAAGCCACTCAGGACTTCTGGTGTGTATGTAAGTGAAATACAAGATTTTGTACCTACTTCTCCAAAACAGTGGAAAATTAAACCGGACAGAGTTACCATTGAAAAAGCATTAATTCCATATAAAACTATGTCAGTCTGGCAAGTTATTCAGAGTAGACTACTAAGGTTAGAAAGGGCTGTAAAACACACTACTTTCAGAAACTGTAAGTAAAACTGTTCATACAACTCCAAAATGAAAAAACGAAGCAATAAATATCATCAACTTCCTGTTCTTCTACCTCCAGTACATTTTCCCACTGTGGTGATAAACAGTCTCTTTCCAAACATTATAGAGATTCCCGATTGAAATTAATCTTTGGAAAGACTCTTCAACAGCCAGGTGAATCTTCCAGGTGAGTATTTTGTGCTGTTCACATAAGGCTATGAATTTTCTCTTTTAATTTATTCTTAATAGAAGACCTATTCACTGATTGTTTTCATTTTAGTTATTGCTGACGACAATTTTTTGACTTTCCAAAGCAACTACCTTAAACTAAAATTTTCCATCTCCATTTTAAGCATAGAATTGAAATCATCTGGAAAATTTTCATCAAATAATTTCCGTCATTTTCAAGATTGACATGGAGATATGGACAATGGAGATAAGTGATTATACCTTTTGCGTGTTTTCCTTTGATTTTCTTTTCTGTTCTTTTTAATGTGTATATAAAATAAAACCAAACACTTCTCACCAAGTTATCCAAAACCAGGAAAAAAAAAAAATCACATGCAGCCTAGACTCAGGAACATCTCATGTGCTAATTAAAACTTATCCCCAGTTGATATAACATACACTATTTCTCAAAGAGCACAACCATCCTAATACTGCAGGTAACTCTGGGGAACACTTTCTAATTCCTACACCCTCCACCTCCAGAATTTCCTCTCTGTCTTAAAAGAGAAAAAGGAGGAAAAAAAAAAAAAAAAAAAAAAAAAAAAAAAAAAGCAAGAATCTTTTCACCGACTTTTCAATCTGTTAACTTGCAAGCATAAGTCATAATAAAATAACAATTACAAAACATAAATAGATGAAAACTTTAATTGATTTGAAAAATAAGAGAAGAAAATTGAGGATGAAATAGAAAAGTGGAAAAAAGAAAATACAGGGTGGAAAGAGAAAGTAAGTATATGAAAAGAAATGAATAACCACTATTTCTTCTTCAAAGTTATGAGGCCACGTTGCAGTGATGATTCTGAACTGCATTAAAGTCATACATATGAATTCTGAATAGAAATTTTCCCCAGTTCTTGTACCTCAGAAATATGAAGCCTTTATAAATCTTTTTTTTTTTTTTTTTTTTTTTAAAAACTCATTCACTTAATGTCTTCAACTATCACAAATGCTTACAACAACTCTACAGTGCACAGTTTCAGATGGAACTCCGATTTCTTTTGAGTATAAGTTAATCTATCCAATGACGCGCTTAAGCATTTTTTCGTCCATTCTACTCTTAGCAACTGAAAATCCAAAGAGCCTCTGAAGAACTCAAGTAACTGTTGATCAGTTTAAGTCTCAAAAACCATTCTACATTCTGCAGAAGCTGAACAGGCAAAAAAAACACAATTTAGAAATTAGCATGTAGCATGTGTGTAATAAATCTACTGCAGTTTATTTTCATCTAAAAATCTTTCATAATAATGAAGGAACAGTTTTGAAGTATTTTGGCACCATGCAGTAGCAACTTCATTATTTGCTAACCAAATACAGAATAGCTAGTCGTTATCCTCTAGTTTATTTTGAGAGTCCACTTTCAGACTGTCCTACAAACATTTCTGTGTGACTTAAGGAAACTCTGAAAACTCAAGTCTTTATCACAAACACACTGCTATGGATGTAGATGTCCAGCATGCTAGGATATGCTTCATTCCAAATATACATAATAGAAATTAGAAGGGAGGCAATCATTCATTTGCTCTTAATATTCTAAAGCAGAGGTGGAAGTGAGAATTGAGAGACTGACCAGGCAAAAAAAAAAAAAAAAGCCATAAATAAAAAGAAAAAAGCAAATAATGATGTACAGCTGTTTTGTACTTCATGACTTCATGATCTTATTCCAAGTGATTGTTTCTACAGCAAAGATGTAACCACAAAGATGACAAGCTTTATTTGATAACACAAACTCCAGTGCCTTCTTGGTAAGACAGTGACTGTTAATTTACAATATTCAGTTGTAAATTAAACTGAGATTTTTCCAATAGTCAAATGTCACAACGCTCTGATATTTCTGAGCCTGGAGAATCTCTGATCAGAACTATGAAAAAATAATAGTCTCTATGGGAAAACTGAAAATTTTCTATAACCATGCCAAATATTCGGATTTAGTGATGGGTTAATAACTCTAAATATTTTTAAGACTGCTTCAAGGGGCTCATTTGTTTAAAATGCAGAAGCTTATAAATAAAATGAGGGTGCCTATTCCTTTGGACTGGCTTTGCATAACAGCACAGAATGTCCTTTACTATACAGTTCACTACACAACACAAAAGGGGTAATCGGAGACACTACCAATCAATGAAAATACATTGTATTTCTTGTTAGACCTACACTGTAGAATGACCTTATTCTGAAGTGGAGAAAGGCAAGACATGGGATAATGGCTTACACTGTGGGAGGAAGGAGATTGAAAGGATACATATAGAGTGTCAAATAAGAGGCTTAAAATTTACACCCATGTAAATTGAAGATCAGAACTCAGTGTTATGTTGTTATGCTGTAAACCATTTTTATATTGGAATGTGCTAGAATAAATATCTCTGAATTGGTGCGAAGGTATTTTCAAACACTATTTCCTAGGGATCACAAGTCTTTTATTATTAATTACATCGTTGTAGACAAACTATTTCGTGTTATACAATATACCATGCAGTTGACTTTGCATTAGAAATTTACTCCATCTTGCATTATCCTTTCTATACAATCCTTTCAAAAAGCTGTATCACTTGTACACTAGACAACAATTACTCTAGAATTATATATATAAATACAGACTTAATTCCTCTGCCATTAGTTGAACTTAAGATAAACAAAAGACTTTCTCTTAAAGCATAGGTTCCATCTTTCACCAATTAGTGAGGTGGTCAGATGACATTCTGCAGCACGTAGACTTAGAATGTTCAATTATATGCATATTTTTAGAAAAACTCACATGCCTCTGTCTAAAAGGATCTAAAAGTACATCCCAGCTGAACACTCTTCATATTCTTGTTATTTATATCCACACACAGAATTAGGAGTAATTCCTTAGTAGAAATAAGTTGATGACAGTAACACTCATATGGTCATATCTGCATTCAAGCTTTTTTTTTTTTTCCTATTTTCTGTCACATTTTTTTCGCTATATGCCCACTTTATAAATTTGTAGACAAGGTATAGTTACAGAACATGAAACAGACTGTTTTCAGTGCAGCTACTGAATAAAATGATATCAAGTACAGAGCACAAGACATTTCCCACTGAGATATGGCTGACAGAAAGAGTTCTTTGCCAGGCAAGAATCTGACCAAAGACTGTACAGACTTGATCATCCACCACTCCATTCCCACAGTGAG